TGTCACTGAGGCGGGATGAAGAATCCCTGGTAGGCTTGAACGTTGTTATGGCCGGGCGGCTTCTGTTTCAGTTATAGCCAAAGGGCTTGTGTTTGTGTTGCAGTTTGTCACGGGTGGTTTGGGTGAGGCTATTAGGGGTTGGAGGAGGCCTCATAGGGGACCCACAGCAGTGTGGGAACCCCAGCGCCAGCAAGGGCACAGCATTCGGGGTACATAGACCCCAGCCCCAGAGAGGGGCAGTTGAAAAGCCCCAGAGAAGGGGGCGTTGCTAAGAAGCCCCAGTACGGGTGTGGGGAGCCCCAGAGAGGGGGCGGCGTTGCTGAGAAGGCCCCAGAGACGGGGTGGCACTTGAGGAACCCCAGAGAAGGGGGCGGTATTACTGAGAAGGCCCAGAGAGAGGGCAGCGTTACTGAGGAGCCCTGGGGAGAGGGCACGGAGAGAGACAGGGCCACGGAGAGCCTAAACACCAGAGAGAGGGTGTAGACCTGGACAGAACAACATTTATTCCAGCTGCGAGGCTTGGGGTGTGGTAAAGGGGTGGTAGGAGCCACGCATAGCCCATAAGGCTAGGGTGCCCCTACAGCACCCATTGCAGAACGGGACCCACAAGGGGTCCGGGAGTCCATGGGGTCAGACATCGCAACAGATCCTGTCCAAGAGGACGTAAGGCAGCCTCCCATATATTTATATTCCATCAAAGACGTGGTGGGCGAGAATTTGAGGGTGCCCTTGGGCCAACTTGGCACGGGAAGGGGGCCTTGAGGAGATCACAGCACTCCTGCAGGACCCTGCTGTGACACAAACATTTGCAAAAAAAAATGCTACTTGTTTTTAAACTGCAGACTTGCACGCATAGCAAATAAAATAAAAATGGAGAAGTCTGTCCTTCAGTATTAAAGACTGTTTTTCTTAAAGCTCAGCAAGCTAAAAGGGCACATTTCCATTCAGCCACTAAGACTGCATCAGAAACCAGTAAATTTCTTGGCATATAAGACTATACTTGGTTTCAAATCAGTGTCCCTGCATGCACATTTAGCCATTAGATGCCTGTTGGTTCAATCTGGACATGAAAGGGACTTTTTCCATAGACAACTTTGATATTTTCTTCCAAAATATTACACGAACACACAGAGCCCTGGGCCCTTATATACATACATAAACTAGATTAGATACATAGTTCCATCCATTAAAGGATTAAATTAATATAGCAGAAGCAGACACACAAAAACAAAACAAAGCAAAACAGAACAACAAAACAGACACTGACTTCTTAGAAAATGTTCTTATCTCTACTTGGGCTGGGAAACATTCCTTTAATTTAGCATGTTCCATTTTTAGCAACAGTTGCTTAATATTACATGTTTTAAAACATAAAGGGACCAGATCCTCAGCTGTTATCCATTGACTTGATTGGCATTATGAAGCTATGTTGATTTAAATCAGCTGAGGATCCAGTGCAAATAACTGGACATAAAGATGACAATTTAGTAACTATTTCACTATTGATGATAGTAGCTGAAATATCCAGGAAATGTGTTTACCCACAAACCTAAGTTATACCCTGTACCTGTTGTCACAACCCAAAGTTGTGACAACAGGGACAACCCAAAGCCTACACCGCGACCACCTTGGGTGTAAGGAAATAATCTTTTCAATCAACCATTACGCCTCCGTGACTGATTCTAGCTCGAGCATGCCATACTGCACCGCGGTATTTTCCAACCCCATGTACCCGGGCTACCGGCCACAGCCTGTGTACACACAAAGACGGGCCCCCGGCTCGCCCCGGCTCGCACATGGCAACCCAGATGGGATCGGGAGAGAATTCGCACATGGCGATCCAGGCGGGATTGGGAGTCGGCCCGCACATGGCGACGAGGATGGGATCGGAATTGGGAGAAGATACGCTGGAGCTAGAATTGGTTAGGAATTGCCCTTGGCGCGATAACCAACGCCAAGTGAGAAGCTTTGAGGAGCTGAAAGTGCATATCGCTTACCACCAGGCGGGCGGAACGGGTGAAAGATTTGTGAGTGGAAGCCTTTCGCTAAAGGGAGAAGAGGGAGTCTCTGAAG